ACAGGGCTTTGCCATGTTACCCAGGCTGGTCTCAAAGTCCTGGTATCAAGTGATTAGTCCATGTCACACCTGTAATCCCAGCACTTTGGGAGGCCAAGGCAGGTAGATTACATGAGGTCAGTAGTTTGAGACCAGCCTGGCCAACGTGGTGAAACCCTGTCTCTACTAAAAATACAAAACATTAACCAGGTGTGGTAGTGCATGCCTGTAATCCCAGCTTCTCTGGAGGCTGAGGCATGAGAATCACTTTAGCTGGGGATGTGGAGGCTGCAGTGAGCCGAGATGGTGCCACTGCACTCCAGTCTGGGTGAAAGAGCAAGACTGTCTCAAAATTTAAAAAAAAAAAAAAAATCACAAAATTTACAATAAATATTCTTAAATATTCACTTTAGTCATAATTATGCAACATTTTACTAAAATGTTTTTATCTTGCAAAGCTAAGTCTCAACACATATTAAACAACTACGAATTTTTCCCATTTTCATGGCACTTTTCAAACACCAGTCTTTTTTTTCTAGGAGTGTAACTGCATCATATATCTCAACAATCTCTGTCTTTTTATGGCTGGCTCATTTTATTTTGCATAATGTCATCAAAATTTATCTTTATAGTTGTTAGACTATCTTCTGCTTTTTGAAAACTGAATGACAGTCCTGTTTTTTTTGTTGGTGTTGTTTGTTTTGTGTGTGTGTGTGTGTATTTTTTTGTTGTTGTTTGTTTTTTTTTAATAATACAGATTCTCACTCTTTCACCCAGATTGGAGTACAGTGGTGTGATCTTGGGTCACTGCAACCTCTGCCCCTCGGGATTCAAGCGATTCTACTGCCTTAGCCTCCCAAGTAGCTGGGATTATAGGCAAGTGCCATCATGCCTGGCTAATTTTTGTATTTTTAGTAGAGTCGGGGTTTCACCATGTTGGCCAGGCTGGTCTCAAACTCCTGACCTCATGTGATCTGCCCTCCTCAGCCTCCCAAAGTGGTAGGATTACAGGCATGAGCCACAGTGCCCAGCCAAGTATTTTTATATTTCAGATCGTATCTACTGAATGATTTGGTGACAGAAACTTGTTTTGCTTTTACCTATTGGCTTTCAGTAGCAATAGTATAATAATTATGGGTATGAAAATGACTCTTCATATGACCATATATGTGAAAGTATATATATGTGCTACATTCTATTTTGTCTACTTTTTTTAACCTTTATACTTGTAGCAAATTGTTTTAATTCTGTAGCTTTGTAATATGTTTTAAAATCAGAAACTATAATGCTTCCAACATTGTTCCTGTTTTTGAAGATTGTTAGGTACTTTATTGTCCCTTGAGATTTCATATACTTTAGGGGTTGCTGTTTTTATGTCTTCAAAAATGCAATGAGAAATTGAGAAAATATTGCATTAAATCTTGTGTATTGAGCAGTATAGACATCTTCACAATATTAATTTCAACTTTTGAACAAAAGCATACTAAAGAATTTGGTTTAATTTCTATATATTTGTAAACTTGTTAGCTTTTAATATTATTGTTTTATATTGTCATTCCATTTTTGTTATGGAAAGTAATCCATAAAATTTCAGTTCTAAAATACTTTTTAAGACTTTTTTGACTTATTTGGTGGCCTATCAAGAAGAAAGTTGTATTAGCTATTGATAAGGGTGTGTATCTTAATGTTGTTGAGTTTTGTATACCTATGTTAGGAATATTTGTTTTATACTGCCTTCAGGTCCTCTGTTCTCTTACTAATATTCTGTCTTGTTTTATTCTTATTTTAGAAAATGGGATATTAAAATATTCTATAATTATATTGTTCTCTATGTGTTTCTTCAATTCTGTTGATATTTGCTTTATATATTTGGAACCCTAATGTGAGACACACATACACACACACACACACACGCAAATTTGTCATAGGTTTCCATGAATCTATTATTGTTTAATGTCCTTATTTGTCTCTTTGGAGTTTTGACTTAAAGTACATTTTATAAAATATGACAGTTATTTAAGATGTAGCTTGTGTAATACTGTTTTGATGTCTGCTGCTCTCGTTTTGTTAATACTTGCATGGAATGTCTACTTCCATCTTGCCACTTTCAGTCTTTTTATTATTAGATCTTTTCTGACTCTTGTAGAAAGGCAAGTTGGATCTTGGTTTTTCTTTTCTTTTTTCTTTTTTTTTTTTTTAGCGGGAATCTTGTTCTGTCACCCAGGCTAGAGTAGTGCAGTGGTACCATCTCAGCTCATTGCAACCTCCGCCTCCCAGGTTCAAGCAATTCTCCTGCCTCGGCCTCCCAAGTAGCTGGGATTACAGGCATCCACCACTATGTCTGGCTCATTTTTGCATTTTTAGAAGAGATAGGGTTTCACCATATTGGTCACGCTTGTCTCAAACTCCTGACCTAAGGTGATCCACTGCCTCGGCCTCCCAAAGTGCTGGGATTATAGGCATGAGCCACCGCGCCTGGCCGATTTTTCAATTCTTTAAATAAATCCCTTTATTAAATGTATGTCTCTTGATTGGAAAGTTAATTATATGTATTCAAATAATTTTCTGAAGGAGAAAGTCTTATAATGTCATTTTATTAGTTGTTTTATTTGATTCTTGTATCTTTGTCCCTCATTTTTCTTTGTCTTCCTTTGATGCTTTCATTTCTTTCTTATTTGTGTATCCATACAGATATTTTTGGGGGTAACCTGGGGATTACATAAAACCTCTAAAAAATACAACAATATAGTTTAACCTGGTAAAAAAAAATTAATTTCAGTTGCATACAAAGTTTTATTTGTTTGTTTTGTTTTGTTTTGTTTTTGAGACAGAGTCTCACTCTGTTGCTGAGGCTGGAGTGCAGTGACACAATCTTGGCTTACTACAACCTCCGTTTCCCAGGTTCAAACAATTCTGCTTCAGCCTCCTGAGTAGCTGGGACTACAGGCGTGTGCCACCATGCCTGGCTAATTTTTGTATTTTTTTAAGTAGAGACAGGGTTTCACTATGTTGGCCAGGTTGGTCTCGAACTCTTGACCTTGTGATTCACCCGCCTTGGCCTCCCAAAGTGCTGGAATTACAGTCATGAGCTACCATGCCTGGCCGCATACAAGGTTTTTTCCTTGTTACATCTGTCCTCAACATTGTTATTGATGGTGCTAATTATATCTTTTTATGTTGTATGTCCATTAACAGTTGTTTATAATAGTTTCTATACTTTTATCTTTCAAGTTCTAGAGAATAATTAAAAATGTGTACTGCACCATTATGATAATGCTAAGGAATAGTATTTTTGTATATGTGCATATCTCTCCCAGAAAGTTATGTATTTTCATATGATTATGTGTTGTTTTCTTGCATCATGTTATTTTCAGTGGAAATGACCCCTTTTCACCATCTTTGATATGTAGGGCAAATGGAGTGCCGATATACTTTTTCAGGATTTGGTTATTTTGGAAGATCTTTTCCTTTTTATCTGGTAGGACAGTTTTGCTGATGGTATTATTCTCACTTGGCAGCTTTTTTTTTTCTTTCTTTTTTTTTTAAGGACTTTGACTATATCACACAGTTTTTTTCTGGCCTGCAAAATTTTCTTGACAGATTCACTGGTTTTCTCATAAGACTATCCTTGTAAATGACACATCAGTTCATCTTGCAGCTCCCAAGATTCTCTTGCCTGTGACTGTTGAAATCGTGCTTATATATGTGTGTGTTATAAATATCTTTGTGTGTATCCTAGTTTGTTGAGCATCTTCATTTTCACATCAGTTTTTCCTACTTTTAACATTTTTTAGTTTTTTTGGTAATTTTACCTTAACAGTTTGTTTTTGATATTTTTAACACTTGTTTTTATCCTCATATTTCTGATTTTCAATAGTTGTCTGTTCCTATTTAATTCATTGAGTATTCAATTTATTTTAAATTTTTAAAATTAATTTTTACGGCTTCATTAATAGTTACTTTCAGAAAATTTTGTAATTTTTTGATGAGGCCATGTTGCCTTCATATTTTGTATGCATTATAATTTTTTATTGAGATTTGGACATTAAAAACAAGCTACCCATCACAATCTTTATAATGTATCTTTGTCTTGTCATAGTCTGAAACCAACTGTCTTGGCTAGAGATTTTGGTAGTCTCTCAAACATGTTCTTAAAGTGTGTCTTTTCTGAAATTTTTTGGGTTTTTTAGTTAAAGGAGTTTGTTCATGAGTCAGTAGTCACTTGCTACACCTGTTCCCGGTCTGTGGTACTGCAGATTCTCTGCTGCTGCAACATTCACCTTGGGTCTCAGTTGACTCAAACTGTCATTCCATAGTATATCACCATTTCTTTTGCATTTTATGTCATGAGAGACAGAAATCAGTGTCTGGAAAGGTCCCTAGAAGTCTGAAATGAATATGTGTGTGCCACTATTTTTCTTCTCTTTTCAAAAAGAAACCAAGAGTTGCAATTTACTTCTTTTTTTTTTTGAGACAGAGTTTTGCTCTGATCACCCAGGCCGTAGTTCAATGGCGCAATCTCAGCTCACTGCAGCCTCTACCTTCCGGGTTCAAGGGACTCTCCTGCCTCAGCCTCCTGAGTAGCTGGGATTACAGGCATGTGCCACCACACCTGGCTAATTTTTGTGGTTTTACCAGAGAGGAGGTTTCATCATGTTGGTCAGGCTGGTCTTGAACTCCTGACCTTGTGATCTGCCTGCCTCGGCCTTCCAAAATGCTGGGATTACAGGCACGAGCCACTGCACCTGGCCTGCAGTAGACTTCTCTTTTCCTTCTATATGGCTCTTTGCATTGTGCTCACCTGGGGCACTGCACACACTTAACTCATTTATATATTTTCCACAAATGTATCTTGGTCAGTATGTTTTGTTACATTGATATGTCTGTGAAGGAATTAGGGCCTGTGGTATTTTGCTGTGCCATCTTGCTTATGTAGTTTGTATATTTTTATAGGTTAGATTTGTAAAGTATATTCATTTGAGTCTAGTAAGTGAAGTAATTGTTATTTTTATTTCTTTCAGTTGCATGTTCTCATTTTGCCCAAGACCTTTTGCCAAAGCAGGGCTTAAAAGATTCTTTTCAAAAAGTGATCCTGAGAAGATATGGAAAATATGGACATGAAAATTTACAATTAAGAAAAGACTGTAAAAGTGTGCATGAGCATAAGGTGCACAAAAGAGGTTATAATGGACTTAACCAATGTTTGACAACTACCCAGAGCAAAATATTTCAATGTGATAAATATGTTAAAGTTCTTCATAAATTCTCAAATTCAAGTAGACACAAGAAAAGACATACTGGAAAGAAACCTTTCAAATATAAAGAATGTGGCAAATCATGTTGCATACTTTCACAACTAACTCAGCATAAGGAAACTGCTACTAGAGGGAATTTCTACAAATGTAAAACATGTGGCAAAGCCTTTAACCAGTCCTTAACTCTTACTAAACATAAAAAAATTCATACTGAAGAGAAACCTTACAAATGTGAAGATTGTGGCAAAGTCTTTAGTGTATTTTCAATCCTTACTAAACATAAGATAATTCATACAGGAACAAAACCCTACAATTGTGAAGAATGTGGCAAAGGCTTTAGTATATTCTCAACCCTTACTAAACATAAGATAATTCATACTGGAGAGAAGCCCTACAAATGCAATGAATGTGGTAAAGCCTTTAACTGGTCCTCAACTCTTACTAAACATAAGAGAATTCATACTGGAGAGAAACCCTACAAATGCAATGAATGTGGTAAAGCCTTTAACCAGTCCTCAACCCTTACTAGACATAAGATAGTTCATACCGGAGAGAAACCCTACAAATGTGAAGAATGTGGTAAAGCCTTTAAACGGTCCACAACTCTTACTAAACATAAGAGAATTTATACTAAAGAGAAACCATACAAATGTGAAGAATGTGGAAAAGCCTTTAGTGTATTCTCAACCCTTACTAAACATAAGATAATTCATACTGGAGCAAAACCCTACAAATGTGAAGAATGTGGCAGCGCCTTTAGGGCATTCTCAACCCTTACTGAACATAAGAGAGTTCATACTGGAGAGAAACCTTACAAATGTAATGAATGTGGCAGAGCCTTTAACTGGTCCTCAACTCTTACTAAACATAAGAGAATTCATACTGGAGAGAAACCCTACAAATGTGAAGAATGTGGCAAAGCTTTTAACCGGTCCTCAAACCTTACCCGACATAAGAAAATTCATACTGGACAGAAACCATACAAACCTAAAAGACATGACAGTGCTTTTGACAACACCTCAAACTTTTCTAGACATAAAAGAAATCATACTGGTGAGAAATCCTAGAAATGTGAAGAATGTGACAAAGCCTTTAAGTGGTTGTCACACTTGATTGTATGTAAGATGATTCATACTGGAGAAAACTCCGAGAAGTGTGACAGATGTGACAAAACAATTCTCATACCTTATTGCACAGGAAAGCATTTATACTTGAGAAAAATTGTATAAAGAATGGAAAAGTCATTAATATCTGCTCATATCTTACTCAACATCAGAAAGTTAGTACTTAATAAAAGCGTTATCAATAAAATTACTGTCAAAAGATCTTTCAGACAATATAAGCCTGTAAAGTGCAGCAGAGTATTTTGAAGAGAAACATTAAAAATACGAAGAGGTTTGTAGTACCTTTGCTTGTATCATAGCTCTTACTGTACACATTTTGTACTAGAGAAAAACCCTGAAGCTGTTGTTCAAACTTTGTTCAATACCAGGAAATTTATGTTGGAGAAAAACCCTATGAGTGTAATGAATTTGGAAAAATACTTTTTCAACAACAGCTTAGAAAACATGAGAGGAATTATACTAAAATATATTTTTGCAAATGCAACAGTAAATATGAAATACATGATCCAAAATTAGGTTTATATAAATATCAGAGAATTCACAGTACAGATATCTTAAGATACTGACACTTCAGACATTACACAAAATCAGAGTGCTGAGTACAGAAAGTTATCCAAAACACAAGTTGGTAGATAACTAATAGTGAAAAAGTTTTTTGCAGAGGTATATTTACATTCAAAGTACACTGTTTTCTTTGGAAAAAATTACAGGTTTTTTGAAAAGTGAATAATGATATAATTCAACTCTCAAATCCATGTTTTTTGGTCTTTTTTGGACGGAGTTTCGCTCTTGTTGCCCAGGCTGGAGTGCAATGGCGTGATCTCAGCTCACTGCAATCTCCGCCTCCTGGGTTCAAGTGATTCTCCTGCCTCAGTCTCCCAAGTAGCTGGGATTACAGGCATGTGCCACCACGCCCGGCTAATTTTGTATTTTTAGTAGAGACAGGGTTTCTCCATGTTGGTCAGGCTGCTCTCGAACTCCCGACCTCAGGTGATCTGCCTGCGTCAGCCTCCCAAAATGCTGGGATTACAGGCATGAGCCACCACACCTGGTCCATGCTTTTCTTCATTCCGATTGTATTCACATGTGAAAGCATGTGATCAACTGTTGTTGCATCAAAGATATGAGAGATTTTTTTTTATTAGATGGGCATTATTTATGACCTTTTTAATGGAAGAGTAAGAACATTAAAATGAAAGACACATGATGAAAATCTAAGTAGAGAGGCTCTTGTGGTTAACTGATAATATTGAGCCATGCATGAGGTAGGTGGTCAGAGTAATATTCTGCATTATAGTGAAAAGTTTTTAAATTTTAGTTAAAATTCAGTATTTTATGAATTGTGCTTTTCATAATAAAATACAGTACATTTCAAAATTTTTAGATTATGTATGAACTTAGATTTTTAAACATATTTTAACATGTTAAGACTGTTGTGTATTCAGTGAAGCATTTTTATGCCACAAACTTTAACTTGCCCCACCTTACTCAATGGCGTAGGTAAAAGATGATGATAGCAATATACTATTTGGTTACATAGTGGACTAACATCTTTAGTAATCTCTTTTGCCAGTGGCTTTAAACTGCAAATAAGTCAAAGAATATTCCCATAGGTTTTACATTTATATTTTTTCTTATTTAAATTTATCGTTCTTATTTTTCATGGGTACATAGTATGTTTTTATATTTATGCCATATATGGCATGTTTTGATACAGGTATATAATATGTAATAATCACATCAGGGTAAATGAGGTATCCATTACTAGCATTTATCCTTTGTATTACAAACTGTTCAGTTCTATACTTTTAAAATGTACAACTAAATTGTTGTGGACTACAGGGTTATTTTTATGGTCATAATAAAAATTATAAAAGTATAAATAAAATACATTTCTGAGTCCTGAATATTTTAAAAAATATGTTATATATTTTTCTTCTAACATGTGGCCTCTTTGCCTACAAGCATATAAAGACTTTTAGTTTTGATTTACATAGAGTTAAATATAGATACATTTTACTTTAAAGATAAATCTCAAGTATAAGAAAATTGTAAGTGTGCTTGTGTATGTTTGTACCTATTTTCAGAAGAAAAGAGCAATATTGGAACAAAAATCATTTTAATAAGGTGACTAATTTACTAGAAAACTAACAACCTCAAAAATGCTGAAAGCAAATCTATACTCTCTCTGCTTTGTATTGAATTCATTACTGTAAAATATTATGGCTTATGGTTCAGAATCTCCCCATGCAGATGTTCTGTTTTTACTTGCCTGGTACTCATGGTAGAGCTGTACATTTCTTTTTTCTTACAATTTCTTTTACAGTTTATGAAGTATTATGTGAGCTGGTCAGGGATTACAACAATGATTTTTTATAAAATTTAGCAGTGTACAAAAAGTAATTTTTAGATGTAATTTTACTATTAGTCTATTAAGTTATAATTTATTTATTTAGTTAAAACATTGCCCTTTGTTCTTTTAATTGGAGAACCCTATGTGAGCCTACTTTTTAAAAGTTATTCTTTCACTTTTCATAATTGATATAAGTAAATTTATTTATTTATTGAATTTGTTCAGGTAAGTACTAGGAAGGCTTCCTGAGTCATGAGGATGCTGTTATATATAAACATAGCAGACAAACATGACAGTGCTTGCTGTGTAACAGATGCTCCATAGTAAGACATAAATACTCCTGTTGAAGTTAGTTTGTAACTTCAAGTCAGAAATGGAATATATCAATGGTGAAACAGTAACATTGATTCTTCATGTGGAGAGGACTTTTTTTTTTCTGGGCTGCAAAGCTGAATTCTGCTGAATTTAAAGAGAAATTCTGGTAATTTTCTAATTATCGTCAGGTTTGTTTGTCTTATGCGTATTCCAACAATGTATGCATCACAGCTCTTCTTTTTCTGTATTATGGCTACAGTTTTCTCACTGTTGTCTTTATGCCATGTCATTTTGCATGGTAATTTAGTAAGTTTTGATGAGAAATTTCGTATTTTTAGTGCACTGAAAAATTGGTTTTAATTGGCGAGTTTGCTTATCAATATAACTCTCAGGTTGTTAATTAAGATAAAAGACATACACTGTCCACAGGTGAGAGGATTAAATCAGTTGGCATTGTTTTTAACTGTAAAAAGAAAAATCTTACTAGATTCTTACACAAAGTGTGGCACATATAAAATTTGCTAGAAAATATGTCAGAAATAAAATAATTTATTTATTTATTTATTTTTTTGACATGGGATTTCACTCTTTTTACCCAGGCTGGAGTGTAATGGCCCGATGTTGCCTCACCGCACCCTCCACCTCCTGGGTTTGACTCTCCTGTCTCAGCCTCCCGAGTAGCTTGGATTACAGGCATGCGCCACCATGCCCAGCTAATTTTGTATTTTTAGTACAGATGGGGTTTCTCCATGTTGGTCAGGCTGGTTGTGAACTCCCGACCTTAGGTGATCTGCCCACCTCGGCCTCCCAAAGTGCTGGGATTACAGGCGTGAGCCACTGTGCCTGGCCAGAAATTAAATTTTTGAGAGAGCTAATGGTAAATCTGACTGGGCACGCTGGCTCATGCCTCTAATCCCAACACTTTGGGAGGCTGAGCTGGGTGGATTACTTAAGGCCAGGAGTGCGAAACCAGCCCAGCCAAGATGGTGAAACCCTGTCTCTACTAAAAATACAAAAATTAGCCAACTGTGGCCGTGTGTACCTGTAGCCCCAGCTACTTTGAAGGCTGAGGCAAGACAATTATTTGAATGCAGGAGGCAGAGGTTTCAGTGAGCCGAGATCATGCCACTGCACTCCAGTCTGGGCAACAATGAGACTCTATTAAAAAACAAAACAAACAAACAAAAAACCAACAACAACAACAAAACCGATAAATCAAACATTTTGAATTTAATTTTCTGTAATATAGCACAACTTATGTTTTCACACAGAATCTTCTATTTTTAAGTGTGGCCATTAAACATTGCAAAATAATAAAATGACTTCTGTTGATTTGAAATTTGGAATAGTATTTCTTTTCCATATTGATATTACAATTTGGAGGAATTTCTTACTTTTTTAAGTGGAGTCTCACTCTTATCACCCAGGCTGGAGTACAGTGGTGCAATCTCGGTTCACTGCAACCTTCGCCTCCCGGGTTCAAGCTATTCTCCTGCCTCAGCCTCCTGAGTAGCTAGGATTACAGGCACTTGCCACCACGCCTGGCTAATTTTTGTACTAATTTTTTTGTACTAATTTTAGTAGAGATGGCGTTTCGCCATATTGGCCAGGCTAGTCTCGAACTCCTGACCTCAGATGATCCACCTGCCTCAGCCTCCTGAAGTATTGGGATTACAGGCATGAGCCACTGCTCCCGGTCTGACTTTTAAAATATATATATACACATATATATTTATATATTATAAAAATATATATATATATATATATATATATTTTGGTTGGTGAAGTTCAGTCTACAGTTTTTATTCTTAGTCACCTATCTGTAGCCAACTCCTTGGTCATTTTCTCTGGAAAACTTTTGGAGATCATGGCAACTTTTGGATTAAAACGTTTTCTATTTCTTTGCATACAAATTTGTTTTCTGAGTGGTGTCATGGGGCCATAAACAACACCTGCCCTTTTAGTGTCTTTCATACCATTACCATCTGTACCAGAAACTCCAGGTGCCCCAGGCTTAAAAACCCTAAAGTACATTGACTTTTCCCATCGACTGTGCTGGGTCCAGAACATGGTGTTAAATACCAGAGTTTCTGTGATTATGACAGATGACAAAAACCACACGAGAACTAAGTATTTTTGATACTATTCAGCCAAGTTTATGAAAAAGACAGTATTTGAAACATTATCTTTCCATAATGTTTTAAAAATGAATTTTTTGATGTGACATAAAATGTGCATTTTTTTCTGTAAAACATGATGTTTTGAAGTATATGTACAATGTCAAATGCTTAATTCTAGGTTAATGCTTTACCTCACATAGTTAACATTTTGTGGTGAGAGCACTTCACATTTTCTTAGCATTTTTCTTAGCACTCTTCATTTTTTCAGTATTCTCTTAGCATATACAAATACATTATTATGAACTATAGTCACTGTGCTGTACAGAAAAATCTTTTGAACTTAATCCTCTTATTTAACTATAATTGTGTATTCTTTGACAGACATCTTTCCAAACCTCACTTTCTTCTAAATACCTCGGCATCTGGTCATCACCATTTTGCTCTCTACTTCCGTGAGATTAATTTTTTTAGAATGCATGTGTAAGTGAAATTATGACATATTAATCTTTGGCTTATTTCAACTAATATAGTATCCTTCAGGTTAATCCATGTGATTGAAAATAATACGATTTTCTTTTTAAAAGGTGAATAGTATTCCGTTGTGTACATACACCACAATCTCTTTATTGACTCATTAGATGTTGAACTGTTGATTCCATGTTTTGGCCATTGTGAAGAGTGTTGCAAACAACATAGAAGTGCAGATGTTTCTTCATTCTGATTTTATTTGTTAGGGATATATGTATACAATAGTGGAATTGCTATATTATACAATAGTTTGATTTTAAATTTTTTAAGGAATCTCCGTTTTGTTTTTCATAATGGCTGTCCTCATTTACATTTAAGCCAACAGTGTGCGAACATTTCGTTTTCTTCATATGTTTACCAATACTTTTTTTTCTTTTTAATATGAGTAATTGTGACAGGAGTGAGTTGATATCTCATAGGTTTTTTTCTTTTGGCTTGCTTTTCCCTAATAATAATTGATGTTTAGCATTTTTAAATGTATCTGTTGGCCATATGTATGCCTTTTTTTGAAAAAATATTTACTTAGGCCTTTTACTCACTTTTAATAGTTATTTGTTTTTTATTGTGTAGTCATTTGAGTTTCACATATATATACACACACACATGCATATATGTATATACATATGCATGTATAGATATATGTATATACACACACATATTTTGAGACAGAGTCTCACTCTGTTGCCCAGACTGGAGTGCAGTGGTACAATCGTGACTCACTGCAACCTCTGCCTCCTGGGTTCAAGCGATTCTTCTGCCTCAGCTTACCAAGTACCTGGGATTACAGGCACCCACTACCATGCCCAGCTAATTTTTGTATTTTTAGTAGAGATGGTGTTTCACCATGTTGGCCAGTCTGGTCTCTAACTCCTGACCTCAAGTGATCTGCCTGCCTTCGCCTCTCAGTGCTGGAATTATAGGCATGAGCCTGCTGCCTGGCCAAGTTTCTTACATATTTTTTGATAGTAATGTCTTGTCACATGTATGGTTTGCAAATATTTTGTCCCATTTTTTACTTTTCTTGTCCTGTTTGTTGTATCAGATTTTTTTCAGCAGCTTTTTATTAATAATTTGAAGTAATCTGACATCAATTTTACCTTTGATTCCCTGGGATTTTGAGGTTAAATCAAAAGAGTTACTGCCTAGACCAATGTTATGGGGGTTTTACTCTATATTTTTTGTAGTAGTTTCAGAGATTCAGGCCTTACATTTAGGTAAGTAAACTATTTGAGTAGATTTTTAGATATGGTATGAAATGAGGGTCTCATTATATTGCTCTGCATGTGGCTATAATTTTCTCAGCACCATTTACTGAAGATACTGCCCTTTCCCTAAGAAGGTGTTACCTATATTTAAATTGAGTTAGCTGTAAATACATGGATGTATTTCTGGTTTGTCTTTACTGCTCCATTGGCATATGTGTCTGTTTTTATTGAAGTACCATACTGTTTTGGGTACTATAGCTTTGTAGTATATTTCAAAGTCAGGTAGGGTAATAACTTTAGTGTTTTGTTTTTGTTTTTCCTTGATTGCTTTTGCTATACAGGATCTTTTGTGGGGTACCATATAAAT